CTCCATGGAACCCTTTCGAGGACAGGATCCGCTGTTTATTGTTTTATCGAAGTTTATTTTCTCACTATTTGGTTTCATGTATTAGACTAATCGACACAGACGTCTGCTGTTGATTTAGGCTGAACACATTAGACGGTCCGATCTTAAACGTGTCCATTTGTCTGCCCTCGCGTTTTCTCTCCAAATACTTTAATAATGAGGGTTTTCATTCAGTGGACACTTAAGACGCAACCTGAAATATTATTATTTTTTCCCTCCCGCATATCTGTTGATGAAACCGGAGATTTATGATTAAATAATTGTAATAACATTTCCTTCATATTCTTCAAACAGTGAGTTCCACTACTTTATCACTTGTGTGGTACAAGTATAGATTTAAAGGCCTGCAGATGGACCGACCACCACATCTGGAGGTGGGATTGTTTCTGTTCCTGTCCACATGTTTTATCTTTTCGGAGGGAGTCGATGTGAAACATTATTAAATATAATTACTTCAAATTTCCCTTCAATTTTATTCACGAGCAAGTCTCTTTTTTTCCCCCTCCACCACGGTACGCGCAGAAACACACAGACCTCGACACAAAAGCAGCACAGTCTTATTTCTCAAACTGCATTTCCTTTCATCTCATGCAGTGTCAGCAGAGACGACTCTTGACCCCGGTGTGCCCTAGTAACACTTCCAACGTACGGTAAGCCATAACTACTGAGAAAAACTAACAAATACAAATGTCATTCTGTTAGCGTTTATTGTGTGCAGCTGCAAATTTTTATTCTTCTTTTTAAGCTAATGTTCATTTTGAAAGAACAAACTGAAAACCAACATGGTTGTCAATATATTAAAAAAAACACACATCAAGCATAAAGGCGATGTTTATATGTCATAGCCAAATATTAACTTTGTGAATCATTAAAATGGGATTTAGTAAAGTGAAGTTTTTTTTTTCTTCTACATTGCAAAAACTGTTGGTTTAATTAAGGTAAAATACCAAAAATAGAGCAGATGCTATTCACTATTGCCTCGTTTTAGTTGTATCTCAACATTCATATCTGAGTTGATAACTAGCTTTTCTCCACTAACTTGAAAACACACATGGCTGCCCAATAACTTATTTGGTCAAATTCCCAAGTTTTCAAACCCCAGGCAGATTTAGACTAAAAAATATTTTCCATTTCGAAATCATTATTATAAAAATTCATTTCGGTTAACTGAACTCTCTGATCAGAACTTCCCCAAATTTTGAGCGCTGCAGGTAAGATACTGACTGCTTATATGAACTCCTATACATTTCAAACTGTTTCTAAACACAACGCTGCCAAGCTGCAGAATAGAAAAGTCTCAATAATGAAGGGGTTCTGATGAAGTAGGATCTGCTATCAAACATATATATCCCCAAATATATATTTTAAAGATTTCAACATTTAGTTATCTTTTTTTTTGTCGTTATGAACAGTTAGTTGTTTTAGATAATTTTGCAGTTGTACTACACTAGATAGGACACAGTTTGGTGTTCTTGAGCTTTTGCTTTATTCGTTCTTTCCTTATTTAGAGCTACAGTATGTAGCGTTTATAATAAATAAATATATGTTTCTTACATATTTGTTGAAACTGTCACTATGTCATGACAGTATGGTATGACTCAGATAATCTATGAAAACAAATATTGATTTTGCTCTTTCTTCCTGAGCTACAATAGCAATCTGCAAAAATGCAGGTCAAAAAGAACCAATCAGATGCAGGAGGCAGGGCTTGGCATTGTCATTTAAATACTTATATATTTTTTTAAGGTAATTGTGTTGTGATTTCCTTTAAAAACTACAAACTACTGATTGTAGCTTTTCTAATTATTGACAAAACGTGTGCAGTTATGTCATTTTGACCTTGTCTGGACAGCCTTTGTTTGTTTCTAGCATTGTCCAGGGACAACAGAAGAAAAATAGCCTTTTGGCTAATTCTAGCGCATTTACAGCAATGTCAATTAAAAGTGCATTGTCCCTACCAATTAAATGAAATTAATCGACCTCATGTACTTGCTAAACTAAACATGCTGACAGCGGAGAAACAACTTACCATTACAGGAAAGTTGTAATCCACTGTCATATCAGTGGCCATGCTAACTAGCATTAGCATTCAGGGCCAGCTCTCTGAGCTGAGTGAAGCTGACACCAAACCCAAATAAAAAATTCCAGCAAAATGGAACGAGAGGTTAGTGGTCGTTCATCCGGTTTGTGCCCTTAAAATTTTTTTTAGTTTGTTCGGCTTTGGTTTCTGAGATATTAAAGATTTTTTTTGTTGCTTTTTTTTTAGGTCCAACAAGCTCCAAAACAAACCAGTGAGGCCCACTTCTTTTAGTGCTCGTTTGTGCCGTTAAAACTGTCGTTTGTGCAGCTGAACCAGATAAATTTCATTGTTGGCAAATTGAAAGGCGCCATATTGTAAACCGTTCTTCGTGTTTAACTCATACTTTCTTGATGAGGCATTTACCAAAAAAAAACCAAAAAAAACGAACAAAACACTCAGCTGGTGCTTATTACGACATGTCTGACTCTCTTTAAGCAGATCTGTAAATCTTTAAGGAAAAAAAAACACAAAACAACAATTTGTTCTCTTTCGTGGCGCTCTCTTTGGAACCTCCTAATGTCTTTAGTTATAATACGCTGACGTATTATAACACCTGGCCGGTACCGGTGCCGAGTAATCCGGGACGTAATCGAGTCTGGGAGCTCGGGGACGCGCAGTCCATGACGCAGAACGTTCTCGACCACGATTCACCTGCGCACACCTTCGTGAGACCATCAAGCGAGGGACAGGGGGACAGGGTAAGCAGAGGAGTTTTTATGGGTTTTATTTAGAAACCCGAGTCCAGCCCGGTAATTGGCCGCAAAGTCTGTAATCGTAAACTGTCTGGATTTCTACTCTGCGTGCGCAAATTTCCACAAGGGACTAAGGCTGCGGTAACTGCTCGACATCTGGATGGAGTAAAGCAAAGCGCACACTCTTTATCCATCCGAGCAGGTCCCAGCGTCCGTCCGGCTGTTGCCCCTCAGCTTTAAGCGTGTGTGTGTGTGTGTAGGTGTGTGTGTGTGCATGCGCCTTCTGGCAGATGTTTCACCGATGACAAGCTCGATAAGTCCCTCATTCTGACGTCATGGTCCCATCCACACACGCCAGTGAAATGAATACGCACCGGATCTCTCTCTCTCTCTCTCTCTCTCTCCTCCTGTGTAACGGGAGGTTGAGTGGATCTGGATGCGCTGCCGCTCCGTGTTGCTAAACTGTAAATTTGCAGCGGTTTGTTTCTCATTTACCGAACTCAACACTGAAAACAGACCCTGTGTTCTTTTCCGACCACAGCTTAAACACCAGCTGAACGGCAGCCTACGAGGGATTTTTCTTCTCTACCTTGAAATTAAATTTGGACACGGGGTCGGGAAAATTAGTCATCTTCAAGTTGTGGTTTGATTCCAGCTCCATCCCACACACCTTGGGACCGGACACTTACCCACCTAGTCGCCCGTTGATCTGCTGAGTGTGGCGTGTACGTGACTATTTGAGTGGCTGGCAAGAGCAGAACATCACCAGGCCCTGAAAACAAAGCTTATATTTTCAGTGGGTAACCTTTTTCATTTAAAGGGGCAGTATTATGTATTTTTCAGCCACATGGTGCCATTTTATTGCACAATTAAATGCTTTATGTTACCTTTAGTTGTTATTAAAAAAAGGCTGCATGCATGAAACATGACTTTCTGAAGCTCCGCCTTCAGGAAGTCATCACAAGTGTTTTTCCATTAACCCTTTAATGAGGTTTCAATGAGAAGAGGTTTCTATAATGAGCCCATCAGCAGACTGGGGTTGAACCAGGTGTATGCTAATTGCTGCCGCTGCTAGTCTGGAGGAGCTGACAGCAACCTCTAATGGTTGCCACAGGAGACTAAAGGATTTCTCAAACATGCAAAGAATCAAAGCAACATTCCAGGTATGTTGTTGATGATGGAATATTATAACAAAACATTTGATTTTACATAGTACCGCCCCTTTAAAAAAATGCTGTGAGCTGCTGGATCTATATATTTTGTAACTACATTAAATCGTTAAGTGTGTTTTTGAAGCAAACTCTGTTACTGAATGTGTTCCTTGCTGAAAGGTCCATACCTGACTCATGGTCCGGTCCGGTCCGGTCCGGTCCGGTGGTTCCCCTCAGGCTGTGGAAAATGGCAGCAGCATGTCAGAGTGGTGAGTTGCTGAACAGAAACCCCACAGAGCGGCTGGACCTGAAGACGGCCTTTATGGACTCTAGAGGCAGCTCGTCAAATACTTCATCTACATACATGTGTGCTACAACAGCCTGTCACCATGGAGATGAATATCTATCATATCTAACAGACACGTGCATGTGTTTGTAGCTCCGCCAGCCGCTGACTGACTGACTGAGTGTTCGACACATTCACACTCTGGGTGTTTACGGTCCAATAGGTTTTCCCCAAAGCTGCAGAACATCCTGCTGTGAACATGAGCCAACCACACCTCGCCTGAACCCAAACACACATTCAGCTTCACACACTTCCTTCAGAGTCCATCAGAAACAAGGAGAACCTTATCTACTGAGGAGAAGGAAGGAAATGCAACAAGCCTGAGAAAAATCAGATTGAAACAAAATCATCTCATGTATTCCTTTTTTGCATTAACGTCTCATCGTGGTCTTGTATTGATGAAGGGAGAGTTCACCCTCTGCTCAGAGCCACGTTCAGAACTTCCCAAAGATCTTCAGTGGGTTCAGGTTCACAGTCTGTGCTGAAAATGATTCTCCTCCCCTCAAGTTCTCTTTCCCAGCCTGAGCTCCATGAAACGTTATCAGTCATCCTGGTTATCACCGAGACGTCAGCGAAGAAAACATGACCTGATCATTCCGGTTCTTCAGGTGTTCAACAGTGAACTTGCAACAATCTCGAATCATAGTGCTTCCTCCATAGGCTGCTACAGTAGATGCATGATGGATAATCACTTCCTACCCTGAAGCGCCCATCAGTCTGGAAGAGGGTAAATCTGAACTCATCAGATCACATGACCTTCTTCCATCGCTCTAGACTTCAATCTTTCTGTTCCCTATGAGATTGAAGCTGTTTTCTCCGGTTAGTCTCACTGATTGGTGGTTTTCTTACGGATCACAGATGTTCAGACCTAAAACCTCCAGTTTCCGTCACACTGAGTGGAAATGCTCTTCCTTTCACAACTAAACAGCCTGAGACCTGCTGTTGGCTTTCCTCCGATGATCTGACCTTCTTATATAATCTCCACCACCTCAGGATGTGTCTTTATGGTTGATGAAGAAATTAGAAGCTGCTGATTGCTTCAGCTGGGGTTAAGTAACTTGCTGACATATGAAAATATAATGACGCTACTGACACCTCAGTCCTATCGGCCTACTTAAATCCAGTGAAGTGATATTCTCTGGCCAGCCAGTGTATAAATAGAAATGTCTTTAGACTGAGGTCCCTCTGTTTGTTGATTTTGCTGGAGAACCAGAGCTCGCAAGGAAACTGTGATGGTTATTAGAGAGGAAGGTTGAGATGTTCAGTCAGACCAAATTCAGCAGCAGGAGATTCAAAGCTGGATTTCTACACAACAAAGAAGAAGAAAGAAGCAGAGGAAGATGGAAAAGTTGGAAAATCAACCTGGAAGTTTCTCCAGAAGCCAGTGAGTTAATGACAGGTGTTAAAATTAAATTAAAATTGGGTATAAACTTAATATTGACTTATATTTCCCTCTTAATGAATCTGTTTATGAACTGATGTTTCATTTCTCATCCTATTTTCCAGGATATAACATTGTTTTCCTGATGAGTTGAGCTCAGGAATCCACAGAGCTTCAATTTGTCCTTTACGTCTATCGAGGTTTTTATTATTCAGGTTAAAGTGATCAGAAGATGCTGATCACATCAGAGCATTTCATTTCTCCTTCAGGACAGAGAAAATCCTCCAAACAAGATCTGAATGTCTGAGTCGCTCCAGAAAGTTTCCAATGTTTCCAAAGGAGAAGCTGGAGGAGAGGGAACTTTATCTTTACGAAGTTTTAGATTTTACCTTCAGAAAGAAGGAAATAAAACAATATTTGATTTAAAATCATGAAGAAAATCAGAAAATCTTCTTCCTCTGACTGCAGAATCCATCACTGACTCTGAGCTGTTTGCAGCAGCAGATAAAATGAAACATCAGAAAACTTAAAATATCATAACATCCAGAAACTGAATCAGAATGAATCAAACATGCAGCCTGGAAACTGTTGAATCGTTTTATTTTGCATTTCTGGTTCCAGGATGAAAATAAATCACAAAGAAAAAAGATCAGCTTTCCAGTTGAATCAAGTTCAGAACCAAACTGAGCCCCTCCAGTATAAAAAGTGATTACGGGTGAAAAAAATTACCAATGGTGAGTAAACTTGTGTACATAGTTGCAATTGAAAGGGACTGATTAATAGGGATTAATTGGAGTTTGAATTTGATCATTGATCTAAAGAGACAAAATATCAGACATTAAATGATAGACATGAGAAAATAAAATGAAAATCTTTCAGGTCAAAGGTCACCATCATGATCCAGAAAGAGCCTCTTTAGACTCAAACTGCTGCAGCTTCAACCACACAGCTCAGCTTCTCTTTTCAAACTGGTGTGTTCCCCCTCCACCTGCAGAGAGAAGAGATCAGATCAGTGAGTGTTTCCAGCTTCTCTCCAGCAGCAGTCAGTGACGCAGCACATCCAGTAGAAAGAGCAGCAGGGCCTTCAGTTTTGTTCAGAGCAGCTTCCTTTCAGCTCTCATCTTAACATGTTGCAGTGAACACACTGAGCTCCAAGCTCAATACTAAAAACTTTAATACATACAGCACTTGATGTCCCAATCCACAGCCACCCCTCTATGACAATTGGGGGTGGGGTTGCAGAAGCAAGGTCTCACTTACACCACTAAAATGGCAACTCAGCCCTAGATCTTTGTTTTAACCCTAATTTGACTGATGATAATACTGCCAACATCAGCTGGTCTCACTCCAAACATCTACTCACCTCACAAGTCTCAGTGCGTATGGGTCTCTCCGTAGCTGCAACAGCAGCTGAACTTGAATCTTCTTCAGGTTGTTAAAGCCCAGGTCCAGTTCATTCAGA